ACACTGGTTATAAATTTGGACTCAAGACATTTTAATTGAGGTCCACCTTGGAAAATCAAAGTAGTTGAGGTGTCTCTCAAAACCAGAGACAGATACAAAATTCCAAAGGTTATATTAATGAATAGTATATATATAGTTACACACCCACACAAACACATTTATGTGTTTTTGAAAATATCATCAAAACTCGGACATAATTTTGACATCTGTATATTGTAATAATATATCTTATATTTTAAAGATAATAATAATAATAATAATAATAATAATAATAATAATTGCAACCTACTGAAACATAAAATCTTATGGCATAAGTCACGAAGAATTGCATACTTTCTTACATCTTCATACTTAGAACTATTTAGATGCCCATCATTTCTCTCCTACAGAGAATTTTCAAGCCATCTCCGTACATAGAATTCACACCATAAGTGTGATTTCATTCTTCTTTTCCAGGAACTCCAAGCATCAAATTAAGTGTTGCAGCAATTATTCCGGCCATTTTCATAGTATTGTTTGATGTGTTGGGTTTATTACCCATACCTTGAAATCCAAACCCAAACCGGTGTAATTCAACCCGCAACCCATGTATAAATTAGGGTTAATTTGGGCCATTGGTTTCTTTATATATATATATATATATATGTGTGTGTATCTTGTAGGTAGAGAACAAATTCATTCATTCATTCATCTGCAGCAGCCCTAATGTGTCTTCTTCTCCATTGTGATTTTTCACGAACTCACCTTTGAATAGATTTTCTTGAGGTTTTTCGGCGTGCCTCCACTGACCGGTGTCTTCCTAGTCCAACGAGCTTTCTTCGAATTAGTGTAAGTTGTCTATGGTAAGATTTAGTCTCGAATAAGCAGTTCGCGTGTTCTTTTAAGTCCATTTGGTGAATATTTTTGGATTTGTGGTGAGTGTGAGTCGTAGGTTGCCTAGTTTGGTTTGGTTCTTTGTTTCTTGGCTTGGTCACTTTTTTTCATTGAGTCTTTGAAGGGCTGGGCTTTATTTGTAATAAACTTGTTTTATTTGAGGTCTATGATGTGCAATTTATAGAATCGTATTGTTTGTTGTCGGTTCTAGTTAGATTTGTTAATTTCTTCGGTGAATCTTTAATTTCGGTTCTAGATTATTTTCTAACGGTGGTATCAAAGCCATTTTAATTGTTTCTAGAACTTTGTATACTTCAATCGCATAAAACAATTTTGTTTTAGGGCTCAATTGTTGGAACTTATAAAGAATTAAACCCTAAATTTAGGATCTGTCGTGTTGAAATAATTGAGATAAAAAAATAAGGCTAATAAATCTAACCTGATTCCATTAACGTAGTCAAATTCAAATCTGCAAATTAATTTAGAGCATTGTGTTCTTCAAGCCTACGACCTAAGAGAACCTCTAGGATTTCTGTCGTTACTTTCATAATGAGATATGAAAAGTAATGGATGTTTCGCTTAGTCCTCGGATCACAACCCTAATATATATATCTTATTATTAATTGGCATCATAACTCAATTAATATATTACCGGGTTTCTGCGCATAGAAGGTCCGTACTTATTAAATACATTTAAGCCTAATGAATTTAATAAATCACTAATATAGGTTTAATTTGCCCGATAGCTCAAATAGTTATATTTAACTAACAATTGGATTTTTAATCTAATAATCTCCCACTTTGGTGAATATACATTGTATAACCTTATGAGCTCATGAGAATTTTGCTATCATATCCTTTAATGTATTTTACCAATCTTATATGTAAATCACATCAATGTGGATCAAAGCGGCCATCACTGTATTTATCGCAATGGGACTGATCAGTAGTCACAACATCAATATAACTTAAGCTTCGATCAAGTGCTGCACATCATGGAAATTTCATGAAATATGATGTTAACATGTCTATTTCCAACTGATCCACCTTAACTTTAACTCAGAACAACTGAATATTTAATTAAAACCGAATTCTGAACAATGCATACTAAATACTGCAATTAGGGGTGGGCATGGTTCGGTTATTTGTAAATAACTGAACAAATATCCAAAACTGCGAACGTATTCAAACTAAAAATTTCGTTTAACCAAAAATTCGGTTAACCAAAAAACTTTGCAATATATGCAAATAAATCGAACCAAACCGAAATTAAGAAATATACATTAGAAAATAATTTAAATTCTAATTAAATAAAAAATATTTGCAAATATTTCAAATATCTAACTGAAATCGAACTGAAATTAAACCAAATATAATTATTAATATAAATTTTAAAATATAATAATATTAATATATTTGGTTCAGTTAACAAAATCGAAAAAAAATATCAAAAACCGAAACCGAACCGAACGGAATAAATATCAAATATGCAGTATTTGTATTCGAAGTGAATTTGTTCGGTTAAACAAAAATTCAGCTCGGTTCAGTTTGGTTCAGCACTTCGACAGTTAGGTTCCGTTTTTTTGCCCACCCATAACTACAATATAAAATAAAGTAACCTTAACTGTATTTGAACATTACTAATTATCTACCACTAAACCAAAATATCAAGATATGGTTTCACTCTCATATGAGCAACATGCTTACTATAGAACTTATGTGCGAACTCTTTAGTAATTAAACGGATCAGCAATCATGGAAATTGTATGAATATGTTCAATAGTTAATTCTTGATACGAAGCCACACTATTAAGTAAATAATTATTATTATTATCAAATAAGGTACTAGTTCCAACTAAGTTCAAATTCTGGAAGAGACTAAAACTTTATATCTAAATGAACAATAATAATTGAATTTGTTTGAAATACAGATTGAACTTAATTCCGTCTAAAAGACAGTACCATCAAAAATGTTTCTTCCAAATCCAAATAATAATCACTACTTAATAATAATCTAAAATTATCAATGGCTTCAATTTTAACTTACTTGTCGTCACCCATATAGATGTACCTTTCAACATCAATTTATTTTCGACAATAGAAATAATTTTGCATAGACACAATGATGTAAATTGTTACAGCAAAATCAACCCTCTGGTGTGTCTATGAACTGAAATTAAACTAATGTCCAGCCTTCTTGCAAAAGAAGCAAATCTTCTCCTTAGAATAAGTCTAATGAGCTGGAGATAGAAGTGAGAACAAAACCAATAGGACCAATATGTCCTTCAAAATGTCCTCCCGACCTGCGGACCTTCCGACCTGTAATTTCCTTAGAAATACGTCTATTTTCACCCGATTTTCTCGAAACACCACTTGATCAGTCCAACAGACCCAATTATAAGCACATGTCTTCCTCTAACTTGGGCTTTTTAACCTTGGGCTTTTTAACCTAATTATAAATTTCATACATAACAATATTATTTATCAATCTACTATATATCCATATATGATACTTTTTCCAAAAATAAATCTTTCATTTTATTATTTTTATTTGTTTAAATCAAAATTTCTAGTTACGGTTTTTTTTTTATAAAAAAAAAAAGAGTAACATATACCTAAATATCAAAATATTCTTACTTTTTATTTTTACATTACGTTTACTTTAATGTCAATAGTAAAATAAATATTACACTGCTTTATTACACCATACTATCTATAAAATATTTATCTTAATCTACGTACAAAAATTAAATGAAATCAAATGAAAAGCTTACTATTGGACGAAAGAAATAGTATTATTTAATTTTACATGACAATTTCTTTTTAAATTTCAATTAAATAAAATTAACTTATGTCCGTCACGTCTCTACACTCTTTAAAAAAAAAAAGACTTTCGGTTGTTCATTTATGATATTAAACCATGAGAAGATTAGACAAATAGTTAAAAAGAACATTGTTCATTCATACACATCTCTACAAAGTCCTAGTTCAAAGACTTGTTGAAACTCGACTTATCGAACCCATCAAAATTGACGAGGCTGAATTATGCAACATCAACTTTGCTTGGAATTTATTTCCCAAACTCAGAGGATGTGTTAGTTTACTGAAATAGTCTGAAAAAATATTTTTTCTATATTAAATATAAAATTAAACTGTATAAAACTCGCATGTGGTTTGACGAAATTGAGCAAAATTATTTGTATTTTTAAAATTGCGTCAAACACTCTCGTGATTTCATAAATTCTACGTCTAACTTCTCGGTCATTTTTATTTAATAGTGTTTGACCTGCACGACGCCAAAAATGCGAATAAGTTTCAAAATTTATTTTTATTTTTTAAATCTTTAAAATTGCAAATATACTAACTATTCTTATTATTTAAGCTCAAAAAATAGTAAATTCATTCTCAATTGTAGGCCAAACACTGCAGTTTTGTAAAACCACAGATAAAATTTGTGCAATTCAACCTAAATATAAAAATTGATCTAAATGGTAGAAAAATAATAAATATGTATAATATATTAAATTTTAAAAAAAAATGTTTTTGAAAAATAAAACACTCAGAATTCCTAAAAAAAAAATCTTATAAAATATCAACTAAACATTATTTAAATGCAAAATTTAAACTAAAATTTAAAACTTAAACCCAAAAACTCCCCTTATCTCTTCTATTAGATATAAACTATAATAAATTGATTTGTCTTCTTGAACTTGATTTATAGAGTATTAGGTTTAAACTAAGATTTACCTAATGAAACTGCAAAATTCCCGTGTCATAAAAATATAATAATAATAATCTATTAATAAAAAAATCTCTTCTACTAGAAAAAGCCATTCAACCTACTAATCTATAGACAGAAAACATGCAATGCCTCCCACCATCTCTTAAGTTTAGCCAGAGCATTTACTTAGAACAGCTGCAAATTCTCGTGTCATAAAGAAATAATAATAATAATAATAATAATCCACCATATGAGATGGAAACCTCCACCATTCACAACGAATCCATAACCATAGATCAAAAACAACTGATTTTAACCTACAATCACATACATAAACAACAAACAAACATGAAACAAGCAAAGCAAAGCAGTTCGCAAGTCGTCAGCAAACTACAACACATGTATGTATGTATGTATGTATCACATATATATATATATATGAATTGATAGATCTGCATAGCAATCAATCAATGTCGTCCTTCCTTCCTTCCTTGGCACGTTTACAAGGTGACAATGTATTTAAGTAGCAGTCGTAACAACAATAAATGAGGTAATAATGTAAAGAGAGAGTAGTAGAGTTTCAGGATACCGCACAACTTTGGTTTGGTTTGGTTTGGTTTGGTTCGGTTGTTTTTTATAACACTGCCCGTCAACACAATTACATCCATCCATCCATTTTTCCAGAGGATTCCTAGCTCCAATCACAGAGGGTCGAGGATGCGCAAAATGCATTAAGTTACTTCCTTTTCCCAGTGCCTATTGTTAGAAGCTCAAAGCTTCGGAAAGCTTCATCTCTGACACCTCTGGCAGCAGCCGAGCGTGTGAAGGAAGATGACTTCGACTCATACCCAGGCTGTAGTCTTTGAGTGGTTGACAAACGCCCACTGCCTGACCCCAGCCTAGCGTAACGGCTTTCACTGGGCTCCCCAGACGAGGTGGGCCGGCTGCTCGACACAACTGCTCTCTTAGAAGAGCTACCAGTACGAGACAATCTGCCTCTTTCAGAATCGGGTTGCTGCAGGATCAAGACATAAAAAGGGATTTTTGTTTAATTTTTGCACTTGGGAAGTAAATGAAGCATAGATAAAGGAATAAAGACGTCTATTTGATAATAGTTAATTAGTTCATCAGATCAAATAGTGCACACCATTTCCTTAGATGACGATGCATTCTCCGAAGATCTGTATCTCGGGTTATCCCCATGCAACCCTGCACCAGAACTGTTCCTTCTAGCAAATGCTTCTACAGCACCAGAGAATCTGTCTCGCACCTCTAGTCGAACTATATACAAAAGAGGGCAAACCTTGGGTTATCATTTTACGAATTGTACATATCTAAAATAATTTTTACACCAAACATGTTCACAAAATTCTCTCCTATGGATACATGTACAGATAATCAAATCAATCACATCTCCCTGGAAAAGGAAATAAGCACAATTTAACTCTCCAAACAACCACTACTCCCTTGCAACAAATTCACTGACAATGAAATTGCCATATACAAAAAGGCTAGATTTCCCGATGATGCATATACATACACAGCGGGAAAAGAGCAACCCCAGTAACAAGGGGCAAGGCATAAAAATTCAGCAACAATAATTACAGGATATGTAGTTTGCTATGACTGGGTGAGTGTGGGTTAAATCGGGTTCCTTACTAACAAATGAGATAATAGACTTGAATTCAGAAGGAAAACATAAAATTATATACTCGATACCCAAATAAGAAACACCAGATATTCATGAACATGAACAAACCTGGAGCTTTCTCTACTCGTTCTGCAGATGGCCCTGGATTTAAAGGTATCTTCCCCGTTGCCTGTAGATAGGGGCATGGTATGAAATTAATGAATAGTGATGATTGAAACTAAGCTTAATGCTAAAAGGGAAAAAGGTCAACACTAACTCGTCCTCTGGAGCTGGAGACAGGTTGTGGATACTTAGACACCGTCCAGTCAAATACATAATCATACTGAAAACCTATTTGATAGCACAATCATCAAGAAGAAACTGTTAAAATAGAGTGGAGATCATACTCTAATAAATAAGAAAGCTTATGTAAGGGCATAGAGAAAGGAAAGATCGAAGCAATATCTTCAAATAAATTTACCTTCTCGAACAAAAAGATCTCGGAAGAGTCTCTTCAAGTATGAATAATCAGGCTTATCCTCAAACCGCAGTGATCGGCAATAGTGAAAATATGAGATAAACTCAGATGGATAAGATTTACAAAGCACCTGAAAAATAAACAACCTTTAGTATGCTATATTATATGGGAAAGGATATAAAATATGACAAGCATAAGCTCGCCAGATGATCCAACACCGCAGTTTATTTGGTTACTGTCCTGGTCATCATCATAATATGATACAGTAATGCCATATATTTATAGTTTAAGGCTGTAGTACTTCTATGGGTGTAAGCATCTTCTTCTCACTGATTTTGTCATATTTCTGCTTCTTTGTGCCAGCCTTCAGTCCTTGCCATGGAAGGCTGAAACAGAATTAGGATGTAAATACTAGGAAATTACAAACCAGGTGTTAAAAATAGGAAAAAAAAAATATAAAGATCTTGAATTCAACCTTCCCCGGAGAAAATACATTAGAACATAGCCAAGAGATTCTAAATCATCCCTTCTGCTTTGCTCTGCAACAAATAATAACAAGACAGTTGTAGTTAATAAAATAAACAGAAACATAAGGGAGAGAAAGTGTGTATGGGGGGGTGGTGGGGTATCTCTGTTCTGTTTAGAATGAAAAGGAAAAGGTAATGACAACATCACAAATTATGTTGAAGCAATATGAGTAACCTTACCTACTCCCAGATGGGTGTTTACACTAGCATACCGAGCAGTTCCTGTAAGATTTTTATTTTCCCTGCAAAACAGTAGGTAATTAGCAAATTTATGTACTAAAACTATTATGGGAGTTCTTATAGAAACTACAGTAAATTTCTGGAGGCTTCTAGCATATAAACATCGCCTAGTTGATGGTTGTAAAATCTTTTCAGTTATACTTCAAGCAGCAGAAAAGGAAGGTCATCACACAGGTAAGCTAGTGCCTTTGAGAAAATTTCAAGCATCGAGTAATAATACAGGAAAGAACAACAATGTTTAAATCATCTGATAGGCATGGGCACAACACTCACAATGTACTAGTGTTTATACCACTCAAATGAATAAGAAAGTGAACCAACAAATGATAAAAAGCTTAGAAAAACTCAAAGAAAGCCCAGTGTTACAAAGGTTAGCCAGGGTTTGCATTATTCGAACAAAAGACTGTGGAATGAGATTGCAATACTACACATAGATCTTGAACAGTTTGTCATGAACTCATAAACCTTGGATGCATCATCCGAAAAAGTCATTTGCATAGTTTCAGGTGAGTGAGATTTGCATGGATTAGAGTAATCAAATGGTAAATGTCGTCACAGGTAGGTCTGGTATTAATACCTGTATGGTATATGCTTATGAGTCTGAAGGTCTCTGTATTTCTTTGCAAGACCATAATCAATTATGTACACCTGTTACAAAGATGATAAGCATGAGTTGCATTCGTTTCCACAAGCCTAAATTAATTTAAAATACAATAAAGCACATATCAAAACTTCAGCATAATTTATGTTCATACCATCATTTAACTTGAATAGCTTCAAGGTAGAAAAGAAATCGATGAACTAAAGCAAAAAATAGACAGTACTTTTACTCAGAACAGCATGATTTGTTGAAAGAGCAATTAACAGAAAAAACATAAAAGATGGCCTTGTAGTACTGAAGAAACATTTAAGGCCATGCTATCATTATTTATCGTTCATTGTCAAGAATATTCAGAGAAATAGAGGAAAATGATGATAGAGAATTTTCCTCAAAATACCGCAGATAACTAATAAAAATTAAAATAACTGCAAAGACACAATCCTAAACCAAGAATCAAGACCTTCGCTTGCAAAAGAAAGGTTGATACCTGATTTGCTTTGCGTGCCAAGCCCATTAAGAAGTTATCAGGCTTTATATCCCGGTGAAGAAAACCTCTAGAGTGCATGTATTCAACTCTGCCAATCTACAATTGGTGTTTGATGCATAGGGCTAGGGTAAAACACCATGGGCAACAACATCAATGTTTAAAGAACCTTACAGAACGGATTCACACATACCAATTGATCAGCGAGCATTAGAACAGTCTTTAGCGTAAACTTCCTATTGCAATAGTTAAACAAATCTTCCAAGCTCGGCCCAAGAAGATCAATAACCATGGCATTATACTCCCCATCAACTCCAAACCATTTCAGTTGGGGAACCCCAGCTTCATATAAGAAACAAGAATATTAATGAGCTCGTTCCGGGAGATGGTACACATCCGAATATCAACCATGGAAAATACTCACTTCCTCCTTGAAGAAGCATATACAATTTCGACTCATAATAGAGCTGAGGATGCTTCGTCTTAACCGGTTCCTGAAACAAAGCATTTAGCAGTCAGCACTGACCTTAAAAGCATAATCAGATGTTATAAGAATGTTTACTGACACAAATTTGGTAACACCTACACACGAAATGCTGATATTACACATACAAAGCTATGCACAACAACAGTTTGCTTAATCATATAGACTCTAAAAGGCGCTTCATTCATCAATTACAAAAAGACACCTATTCCAAATTAGACCAACTTCAACTTTTAATACTGGGAAATGGTCGCGGAGATTGTTTAATAGATTAATTAAAGCTATTGGATAGGATCAACAATTTCAAATTCCAGCTCCCTTGACTGTGGGCCTATATCTAACCATGGACTTTTATCCTTAAAATAAACAAGTGATTAGGTTTAGGTTGAATAAATGACCTAATCTAACTAAGCAAACATGGCCATAAGTAATCAGAAGAAGTACAACTCTTCCACTCAATTCTTTTGTAGAAATAATACCAAAAAACTCACCAGTTTCACAGCAACTTCTTCACCAGTTTGTATGTTGATTCCTGGATAAACATAAGGAAAATAAACCTTTATGCATAAGCCACCTCCAGATCTCAGAAATGGTTGGATGATGAAACAAATGATAATCGAAAATTACCCAAAAAAAGCTCCCCAAAAGATCCGGCACCAATCTTCCTCCCAAGCTTATATTTGCCTCCAACAACACGATCCATGATTGATATCCCAAACGCCTAATCAAAATCCAGAAATTGATAATCTCGGCTCGGTATTTCGATTCCCCTCTCAGCGCATCAATAAGATCTATAGCGCGTATAATCCACAATCAAAAATCTCAAATTTCTCGGTAGTCCCGTCAGATCCGTTGAAAAGCAATCGCAGAGATTCCAACAACGAATGCAGCAAATTAAGCCCCCAATCCCGACAAAAACATGCCGAAGAGTGCCCTAGAATATACGCAATATGTACACAAACTAGCAAAATGAACAAGCTAGGGTTTCCTATCCTTGGATTGAAAATTAAATAAATACACAAATTCCGAAGAACAATGAACAAACAAGAAACAGATATTCTGCGATTCTAGATGAACAAAGTCAACATCTGGGACTACAAAGATGCCGGACGCGGAAAACCCAGACAGCCTTTGGCTTATCGGGCAGAAGAACAAAAGAAAACAAAAATAAAAATAAAAAATCGGTGAGCCAAATGATTTCGAATTCCTTTCGGTATAAGGAACGCAATTCTTTATAAGACACGCCAAGATCGGTTCTTACTGAACACGATAGACACCCGATTGAAAAGGGAAATTGAAACGAAACGCAAGAATTGAGACAAAGGGAGGGAGGAAAAGGGGAGAAAGCAGAAACCGGTAATATTTTGGCACGGATCTGCTCAAGAAACGCGAGCAACAGACAGACAGAGAAACAAGGGGAATGAGATGAGAAATAACAAAGAAGACGGCTCCTCTCCTCTCCTCTCCTCTCCTGGTCCAAGGTGGGAATACCAGATAATTTAGGGTGTCCTTTGTAAATAATCATTTCTTTCTTTATCTTTTCTGTTAATTACTTTATTATTATTTTTTATGTTTTTTTTTTGACCAACGGCGGTTGGGATTGATTTTATTTCTTATTATTACCTCCGTTCAAAATTCTTCAGTTGAATAGTTAATTATTTTGATTTGATTTATCTAATAATTACACTATATTATTATTATAATTATTTTTATTAGGTAGAAAATAAAATAAAAATTAAAATAATAATTGTTTGAGAATATTATTTTCACTTAGATCAACCAAATTTTACTCCACAACAAAACTAAACTTGAGGTGACGAAAGAGAATTTAGTTTTGACTATACGGTGAAATTTCAAAAACTAATAATTAATCGAAAATTTAATGTCTAGTATATCAAGCATGTCCGGTAGCGTCAAAACCATTATTGAGCGAAATGTAACAACACCAAACGAGATTTGGCGGCATCAAGCGAGATCCGTAAGCATCAAACGATGTCCATCCGTTTTGACCGAGGTCCAACAACATCGAGCGAGGTCCAGTTGCATCAAGCCAAGCTCATGTGCATTAAAGAAAAGTTTGACGACATCAATAATAGCCCAACAAATCAAACGAAGGCCCAACACTTTGAAGCCCACAAATTAGTGATAGAAGTTTAAAAAATGAGCCCACGATGATAGTCCACATGTGGATCATATCATGCTAATCGCACTACAAAAAAAATTACAAGTTACGATGAAATTATTCCGTCGCAACTAGACATTTTTCCGTTGCAAATTTACATTGTGTTGGATTTTATGTCCAAATGAGAACTGTCACAAATAATTGGTTGTAAATCCGAAACGACCATATTGAGGCTCCGTCACAAAAAAACTGCAACAGTATTGCAAGCGAATAATCTCTTGTTAATTTCGTCGCAACATTACAGAATATTGCAATACATTTATTTTGTTCCTAATTTCGTTGCAACATTACATAATATTGCAATGAATTGGTTTTGCTGCTAATCCCGTCGCAATATTTAAGAACATTGCAATACATTATGTTGCTAATTCCGTCGCAAAATGTCTATCCCTATTTAATCTTTTAGCTTGTTTTTATCTCTGCTTTTCCAAAATTTTATATAGTTAATACTAATTCAATCCTCCACAATTAACCAATTTAAAAACTCAATTAATAACTCTCATCAAACATGCAAAAACTAAATGAAACTATATACAAATTTCAAATTTAAAAGGAGCCTAACAAACAACATACATTATATTATGAACAAGATGTATTTAGCAATGATGGCGATCACAAAGAAGATCACATGTTAAAATTATAATTTACAAGTAATTACATCTATCTCCATCCAATATTTTCATGCGAAACTGATACCATACCCCCAAGAACAACTAAATTTAAACATAAAAAGTAATTGTATTAATGAAAAAAGAAAATATATATATAATAAGCTAGGTGATACATGTCTTTCGCACAAAAGCATTAAATTTGGTACACAAGAACTGCATTTTGATATTGTTTCATTAGGTATCTCTTTAAATTAAACATCCAATAAAGTTGGTACTTGAAGTACCTATTGCTCTTTGGAGGTTAGAACTTAGAAGGAATCCCATGCATAATAATCCAATAATAATGACAAACAGCATGGAACTCAATTCTCTTATTTGATCGCAGCAGCCAAAGAATTTATGTTGCTAGATATATATTCGGAATAATCACTTCAATTGAAGGCATATAACCCATTGGCAAGGCACCAAATAACGATGCCTGCTGCCTGGAATCAATATTTGGCACATTAGAGGCCAACGACAATGCCTTTTGTGCCCTCTGAGCCTGTCTTTCCTTATCTGTATCTGCCCACTTGACCACCAAAGGTATAGTCGAACCCTATTGCAGAAGCTATCAGCATTAATGTTTGACATTTCCAATTTAACACAATGCATTTATTCAGCGGGATGGTGAATTAAATAAACAAACCAACAGCAAAAGGGGTTCATCATATAAACAAAAATATGGAATCTAGAGAAGGAGATGGAGAAAGAATTCATCTATAAAATAGTCCACTGGTTTAGACTAATAAATTTCTCACACAGAGATATACAAACATGAATTGAGTAACATTCAGAACCAAATTTCAACTCTTAATAACAAATTTCACCATAAGCAAATGTCCATTTCATGGGTTTTTAACATCAAGGCTCAAATTTATGCCTTAGGAATAATAGAAAATCAATTACTTATAATAGCATTGATGAGTTAAAAACAATCTTTCTGGATCTTAAATCCAAAATTTTAACTAAAATAGTAATGCTAAGGTTGATAAATGGTGATTCATGTGGTGAAAATTCAACACTACAAGATTATATACACAACACACCAATTTGAGAAAGGTTATTGTTTACGCACCTCCATATTATGCTTTCTGTTGAGGACTTCTATAGTTGCTAGTGCTTGTTCTTTTGTCCAAATTTCAAAAAAGCACAACCTACAAAAACTAATTTGTTTAGATCAGAAGTTATAAAAATATATGAAATTGCATCACTCAACAATCATGAGAAACTCTGTTATAGGAGAAATTAAACCACTCACATTTGCTTGTTTGCGGGGAACCTCTAAGAATTCACAAATCTGTTATGGTTCCAGACTCCGAAAGTATAGCAAAGATTTCATCATCAGAAATATTTTTGGTAAGCATTCCAACAAAGAGTTTGTGCTCTGCATTTGTTTTGGAACATAAATTGGATGCAAATACAACAAAAAGAAAGCAATCAGTATTACAAAGTAAAGACAAATGAAATATAACTGAAATGAAGGCAGGTACAAATGGGAACTCGAGTAATATCAGATACATTAATGAGAAAATGTTACCTTAACATCAGATAAAGAGGAAAAAACACTTATAGAACTAATAAAATTGTTTATATAAATATAGACTCTGAGAGGTAAAGTGTCATCAGAGTGTATAAATATACACTATTAGATACAATTGTTTGCTAGCTGCTACACTTCCATAATCAAAATTGGTTATAGAACTAATAAAATTGAAAATGGCCAATACATGGAACAAAATCATTAAGCTCTATTTATTTACCTTTTCATCATCTACAATCTCCACCATGGCAAGATTTGGCACACCATCCGCATGCCATACACACAATGTATGAATTAGAATGCAAAATTTTGTTCCAGTACATTAGATAAAAGTTCCGTTCTAGAATTTCAATGAAAAAACTGAAGGATTTTAATCTCTAATACTTATTCCTTATGATACATATCTCAGTCAGTTCTGCATCTTTAGTTAGAAGTTTCTTAATATATATCTTTTCCGAAGAAAATTTAGTACACAATAGTTTCTGCCACGGAGCTAAGTAGCCTCACATGCCAATCTTAGGTCCAAATGGAAAATAAGATAAACTAAGCATATGCTTAATTTAATGAGTTCTGAAAGGGATTAGAACCTGCAGATGTCTTTCAATTTTTCCGTCATAACAATTACAATATTAAGCTAAGACATGCTATCAGATCTTCATCAAAGAAATGCTCAATGTTTCACTTGTACAAAGTTATATAGCATAGTTTTGTTGCTTCAAATATTCATGATTAATTAAGAAATAGAACAAAGAAATTTGCAAGATGGACAATAGCATATAAAAAATTGTTGTTGACTAGAACTATAAAACATGTAAGCATTAGCTTGAAGGTGCGACAGTCTTCTTATCCTTAAGATAAAATAAACAAACAAATAAAGGTTATAGGGAACTGACATCCATATTCATCAGATGTAACGTCACCCAACTACAGGAACCTTCAAAATACCGAGCTGCCTCAACAACAGAGCAGATCTGGCCTCGAGTGAAAATCAGATACAAAATCCCCAAACTGAGAACACCAATTTTTTTTTACTCTATTCTCTTTGAAAACTACGAAAAAATCTCCCAACAATAAACTTTAACCTAACATAAGGTTAAGGATTGAGCTTACAAACCCTCCGACAAAACTATAGAAGAGGAAAATGAAGTTGCTCACCTACGCCACTGGAGAGCCGTAGTTGCTGCTGAAACTTCTACCGAGAAAAATTAAGCTTTCAAAGTCCTTATATGTGGTGATAAAACTTGTAAAACGATCGAAATCGATGTAAACGGGTGAGAGAGAGTGGCTGCAGGATGGGTGTGTTTGCGTCGGTGGGGAAGTGAGTTGGCGATGATGTGATTTGATGAAGCTATTGGGATGATAAATATTTGTTGGTTGTGATGGAATAAATATCCGTTGTACAATTCCTTGAAAAACTGCAACGGATCTGAATATTCGTCGTATACAATTTAGTATAATTATATATTTTGTGATGGAATATATTTGTTTTTGCAAATCCTCTTGCTAAAATTGCAATAGTTTAAATATTTGGTTGTCTATTTAGTAGTTATTTTGCAACATAATCAATTTATTTGTAAATTCCGTTGTTGAATTGCAACTTCTTGTTTCTGTCTTAATATTTCATTGCAAAAATTGTTAATTACAACGGATTATATTTATCATTATAATTTCAATTGCAATGTTGCAACGGAATGTAAATCCTTGCAGAATTCAATCGCAATTTGTAATTTTTTTTGTAGTGTAAGTAAAGCCCACAATATTGAGAAATTAATATATATATATATATTAAAAAATTATGAAAGTGTTGGAGCCTAAAATTTGACACTCCAAGATTGTTCGTCAATTCCATGGTGTGGGTTCCGAATGTACTCCAAAGAGTCTATCCATCATCGGTTTACTAAGAGTGTGTTTGTTTGTGGGTTTGAGCTTTTTGGTTTGGATAAGTTGAATTTAAATAGGTGTTTGGTGTAATATAAATAGATGTTGATATGATATGGAGTTTTACCGCTTCTGAAATTTTCTTTTGTGAAGCTCGGATCAGATAGTGATTATCTGAACTGTCAAAACCCTTGTTTTTTCTGCACTTGATCTCTTTTCTCTAGAACTG